TAGATTTTTCTTTACTCTGAAGTGGTTTCTATGTGAACTTCGTATCTTTGCGTTGAGCACGATCCTTGTGGTAGTTGCGTATGAAGAACCAAGATTTGGTGTAGTATTTTTGTTATAGTTTATGGCAGTTCCGTGATCAGTACTCTCCAGTTTAAACCTAACTCACTTCTTAACACTTCCTTTGTATTATATACGTCTTTCAGCTATTTTACAATCATGACTCTTGGAGGTACCAATAACAATCAGAACCAATGTGTTAGACGTTACCCTCTTTTCTTATGCGAGAATGATCAATTCGGTGTAAGCCTTGTTTCCGATGAGATCCTTACTGGTTCTAATTACCATAGCTTTGAAAGTAAAGAACAAGATTGGTTTTGTTGATGGAACACTTGTCAAACCACCTGCCAATGATCAAACATCTGCTACGTGGTCTTGTTGTAACAGCATGGTGATGTCATGGATAACGAGTTCTGTATCTGAGGGCATTAGAAATAGTATTATGTACCACAAGACTGCTAAAGCAATGTGGTCAGAACTTAAAGCTAGGTACCATATAAACGATAATTTCAGAGTGTATCAGATCAAGATGCAACTGAGGAATTTGAAGCAGCATGAGTCAATGGATATCAATGAGTATTTCACAAGGTTCATTACATTGTGGAGCGAATTGAAGTATTACAAACCTCCTGTTGTATGTGCCTGGGGAGCAAAGGATGCTTGGAAAAAGTATGAAGAAGAGGAGTGCCTTAGCCAGTTTTTGCTCGGTGTGAATCAATCTCATATGCATACAGTCAATATGATTTTGATGAAGGAGCCTCTCCCTGATGTCTATTGGGCTTTGAAATATTTAGATTTTGAGGAATCTCAAAGACCTAAGAAATACAGTCCATGGCAATAGGTAGAAAACTCTGCTTCTTCTTTTTTTTTCTTTTTTTTTGATAACCAGGAGGATCGGAGCCAAAGCCCTGGTCTGGGGAAGACCGGGTGAAAGCTCCTGGCCAAACCGAAATATCTAATGTTTTTGAGTTTGAGAAGAATCGATCTCTGGTCTACACCAAACATACAACTCTTTCTCTAAAGTGAAAACTTAGACCAAGACTAGTTGGTTACATCTCGTCTTTTTTGATGTGTTCTTTTGCTAATAACAACATCAAACCCAAATATTTACTCTCTTTTTATAGTCGAATACGTTTTTCATTGATTTTATAGCTCTTTTCATTGATTTTATAGATCTTTTTTGGCTGGGATATTTAGTTTAGCTATACTTAATAGGTCACTTTCTCTAACTTGGTCAATGTCTCAATATTGATGACTTAACCAAGATGGTTAGGTGGTTGGTTAGGTGGTTCCACAACAACCTTTAACGTTACTATCTTGCATTCACTTCCTTGGCTGTGAACTACCCAGAAGAAGAGATGATTGAACTGAAGCCATATAACTTCACTGACCTCTTCATTATTTGCTTTCATTACCCATCTGAGTCTGTCTACTACTACCACTACTACTCCTGATACATGCAGTTAAAATTATTATCATTTATCATATCTCCCAGTTCCAGATTCGGATTTAATTCCATCTGCATCAAATTCTTTTAAAAATAAATTGGAAAGCCCACTGGCTTGTTCAGTTGTTCACCAACCCTATAAATAATATATGGTGGGGGTGGTTTTTGGAGTTTATTTATTTATATAGGCTTAGTTGTGTTCCATAAAACCATTGCTTGTAGACTTGCATAGATAACTTATAATTAATAATCTTAAGTTATAATCTTCCTAGTATTCAAAAAGTGTGACGAAAAAGTGTATATTCTTGTTATTCAATGAATATTTCTAACAGACTAAACTGGAATCACATGGATAAAATATATGAACATTATATTTCTTAATATATACAATACATTTTGTTCATGGCATGATTGGCATCCGAAGACATCAACTGAGATAATCATGTTACAATTTCGCACCATTTAGTTGAAAAACGTATACATGTTAATTATATTCATTTTAATGAATTATCCTATAAAACAAGATACACACAAAGATTCATTTTACTATCAATTAGTATTTGGATTTCTCTTTTTTTTTTTAAGATAGCATTGTTTTGTATATGATGACAATGTATCCATATTGCTGAAAACTCTCTTTTTTTCCTAATTAGAAATTTCACAATGTTCGATATGAGCAGTATATTATTATACCAAACAAATATTCCCATTTTCAATGGTAGAGTTGCCTATTCAATTATGCTTTTCCCTTGTGCCTTGAAGCAAATATTGTCAATTTCTAAACAAAAAAAAAAAAAAAAAAATTGTCAATTCTCGTTAACATAATTTCCTTTTAGTGATGGTAAGGTTTTTCCAATATTATCATCTAACAATGTTAATATTTTTAATTTTGTGATTTCTTTCAAAAACAAAAGGCTGCTGACAAAGGTTATGAGACCCCATTACATGTGGGGAGAAGCATGCTCATGTTTTGATCAGTAAACAAAATTTGCATATAATTGTATCGACATCTCTTGATATGCAATTACAAAACAAAACAAAACAAAACAAAAAACATTGTACTAAATTAAATAGTTATAGTGTAATAATTATTTTGTTTGTCAATTCTTATTGACCACAGACACACAAACTCTTTTGATATATATTGCGGTATTCACGTGATGAGTGTATAGAAGATTAGTCCCAAAACTGATAAAGAAGATTTATATATGATTTATCATTTATACATATATGCATCCGTATGTATGAATAAAAGAAAAGACTTCACTATATTGATTGTGATGCTTCTTTGATAATTGCTTCTAACTACTTACTTGCTCTGTCCTCTTCTACCGACACTCGACCATTTATTTTAGCTCCTACCCATTTTTTTTTTTTCCAAAATGTGTTTCGATTGATGATTATATCTTTTGGTCCACACCTCCACAACACAACCCTCGAGTTGGTCGATTCTTATCTCGTGGAGACACCACAACCACTGAAATTTAATCTTTTATAGGGTAAAAAATATTATATCATTGCGTGCCATAACTTGGTCCCATTATGTATGATTCTTCTTAGAGGTGATCACGAAGTTTTGAGTTACTCTTGCTTATTGTGATGTATAAGTGTGGTTTTCTAATTAATTCACTAATGATTCATACGTAATAGTTGTAGTCTTGTCAACTTATCTCATATTTTGTTTTGTTTATGTGTTGATTATATTCAATCTACTATAGTTAATTGTTAATAATTTTGTTTACTTGCATGACATAAGTGATAATTTGGATATGATTGTCGGTATTAATTTAATCATGAGAGTGAATCTGTACTTGACGTCAACTATTTGCATGATTATTTTTCCAAATGATTATATATATTGTTTGATGGTGCGAATATAATTAGCTTCCTCTAAACAATAATCTATTACTTAATTTTTGTTGGATTGATAGAATGATTAGTGACTCAGATTGGTAGTTTTTTTTTAAATATTATAGTTAGAAGAAAAATATAGGCTTATAAGTAGTACATTAGTTTGAAATTCATGTTAACATATTCTGAAAAAAATTACAGATACTCTTTCGATTGTACATCATTTGCGCATGTCAAATTTCGAATAAATTTCTACTGTTTGAGTATAAATTGTGTTGTCACTATTTCAAATTATCTTATTAAAATGACCATTTATAAGAAAAAGTTAATGGTATTTTAAAAACCATATCACATATCCAATAAAGCATGCATTGATTGATTACACTAAACGTTCATCCTTGTAATAGATGATTAAAAACAGCGTATATTAGGTATAAGAAAAAAATTGCAAGAGTTTCATCTCCCATTATTTTCTTTCTCATATAATCAATAGATCGAGGAAACAAATTTATAGAAATGATATGCCCTTCGAGCCACACGATTAACATTGGTGATGATATATATACAAGGTGATGATATATGAACGCATCATTATTGTAGCTTGTTAGGAGTTATGCATTATAGAGTTTCTGTTTCTCCCTCTCACAATATAATGATATTTATCTCCATGTGAAATCATTTTTTCTTATTATTGTTGTTTTCTAAGCTTTTGTATTAAACAAGGGCACTTAAAAGAAGAATCAAGTATGAGAAAACGATTAATTTAAGTGATATTTATAAATTTTGCCATTTTTCCTAAATTATTAAATTTGCCATTTTTATATTTAAAAAAAAATTACATGTTATGATTGGGTTGATTTGGTTCTAGTTTCTTTGAGAGTATAGTTTTTGTTATTAAGTATATTTTTATGAAAGCTATTTTCAAATGCTTAGTTTATTTTAAGTGAAACAAAAATTGTAAAAATGGTAAATTGAAATGGAAAATTTAAAAAATGGCAAGGCAGTATTTTAGAAAATATTCCCATTAAAAAATAGCAATAATCCCCAATTCCCATTAAAGAATCATGTACAAAAAAGGACACAATTAGATAATGACACTTTATATGCAGTTTCACACCATATTCCAAGAGAGAAAACAAAGAAATGATAACTTGAATATAACCCACAATGAAATATAAAGCATACTAAGATATAAAACTAAGATTTTATTCTGAATTAACATCCCAAAAGATATAACTAATATTAATCAATAATAATTAACAAATCACAATCAGAATCGTAATAACATAATATTATATTCATTTAGGCTTAGATATATGTCAATAGTCATTGTTGATGTCAAAAACCATAGTCCAAAATTTATTTTTCTTCTAAATTTTTGTGAACAAAAAAGATGCCCCCACCTTAGATATGTAAGATTTTGCCATATTCTTTTAAGAAAAATAAAAAAGTAAAAATTGTCTTATTGACAAAAGATGAGTTGAAAAATAACTTTTGTTCAGCCTGAAATGATAATAGGACTTAGACGACCCACTCATTGTCTACTTTTCAAAGTTGAACAAACCGACAGAGAGAGAAAGAGAACCCTCTCTTCCATCAAGAAGGTTTCAGTCCCTTGCAACAAAAGTAAAGACAAATCCAAAGGTAGAAGAAGGAAAGGGGAGAAACACACATAAACTCTCAGATTTTTCTTTTTTTTTTTCATAATCACTTTCTCTGTAGCGTCTCTGTTTATTTTCCCAGAACGATAAACAAACGCCACACAAAAATCTAAGTACATCAAAAGAATCATAATCATGATCAAGAAGAAGAAGAAGAAGAAGCCTGAAAAAAAGAAAAAGAAACAAACACTTCCACACAAGAATTATAAGCATACAAGTGAAAAAGAAAGAAAAAAAAGGTTTTTTCACAAAATGTGAAATCTTTTTTTTTTTTTTCAATCAAAGAATTCCCAATTGAACCTGGGCGGGACTGTGTGAGTATTTGCAGTAGTCGAGCTCAATGGTGTATTTGGTTGATGATCAAATGTTTCCCATTTAGTATCTAACACAAATGGTCCTGACCCTGCTGAGTTCCTTGGCTCTTCTTGTATCTCTTGTTTCTTCTCTTTGTATTGTATTGGCATATCCATTAGCGATTGTATCGGTTTCTCTTCTTTCCTCTCTTCGTTGTTATGTTCTTGAATCGGTGCAAGTCTCTGCTGTTTCTGCTGTCCATTAGCCATTTTCACCTTCAAGACATCGAGTGTTTCGACATAATTCTGCACTCTCTTCACCTGCATATTACATCGAAATCCGAATGTTACAACGCAATTTAAACGAAAAAATCCTTCGGTCTTGAGATGATTTTGATAATAACATTACCTGCATCTTTCTTTGTAACTTGACATCTCCTTCAGCTACAATCCCATCCAACTTAATCAACTCATTCATCAACAATTCAATCACCGTTACAAGATCTTTCTCCGCAATCTTTCCTCCTTTCTTAGTAACCATCTCAAACGCCGAAACCTACACACAAAAATCAACATAAGATTTCCGAGATTGAAGCAAAAAAAAAGAGCTTGGCGGGCAGGGACAGGGCATTTACCCGTCCGCCGAGCCTATCAACTTCAAGGCTAATATCAGAAATCGCTTTAGACGCCTTTTCGGTTTTGGCAATCTTCCTCATCTCCAAAAACCGTTTCTCTTGGCTAATAGGGTCTTCGGTAAGTACCATCTTGGATTTATCTTTAACTCCAGAAACATCAAGAAACGCCTTTGAATCCCTCTCTTTATCTTTATACATTAGCTTCTGATCTTGATGATGTATACCTGTTGGTCCACTCAACATCTTCTTTAGCTCCCCTGCATCAACCAACACACATAAATCTCTAACCTTTTAAAATCTCTCTATTCCAATAACTTCAAAGCTACACAGATTAAAACAGAGAGAGAGACTAACCAAATGAAGCTTGAGGACTGATACTGATCTCATGGTAAACAGAACCGTACTTGATCCTAACTCTGATCATAGGCGGTGGAGGAGGTCCAACAGGATCCAAATCAGGGTTGCGTTTCTGAACCAACATACCACCAGGTCTCATTTCCCAATCATGACCGCCTGACTCCCTGCCGCCGCCACCGGAACCTCTGTTTCCATTAGTCGCCGTCGCCGCCGCCGCCGCAGCAGGAAGATTTGTCGGTTTGTTTCTCATCATCTTCATCATCTTTTTCACTTCCTCCTCTAAATTAAACGGATCTGAAGATCTTTGTTCTGAGAAACAGAGAGAGAGATAGATTAGTCGTTGAATCAGAAGAACAAAACAAAGACATTGGAGACAACTTGTTGAGACAAGAACACACAAAGGGAAGAATGTTTAATTACAAGAAATCTGGGACTTGGAACATCATCAACAACAACACAACTCCAAAGTCATCCGACCCATTACGCCACGTGTTGTACAAAGATCAAAGCAGAGACCCTTTCTGATCCAACTAACAAAAACCCAAGATCAACAACTCTCTCTCTCTCTCTCTTCTTCTTCTTTGATCTTCCAAATTCTGAAGAATCTGAATTGACTTCAGATCGAAAAAAGGGTTTTTTTTTTGGGGTTTTCTCGAGAAAATCGGTAAAATTAGGAGAGAGTAGAAGAATCTGAGAAAAGCATCCGGATTCTCTGTTCCGAGTTTCTTAAGTTTCAGAGAACCCGTTGGAGCAAAAAAAAAAAAAACCAAACAAATAAATAAAATAAATTATTTTTGAGAGAAGACGAATAATAACGAGTGGCCAGCTAAGTTAGCTCTTTGTTGTGGCCTGTGACTTATATTTTTATAAAGTCGTTTACATACATTTTTATTCTGTAAGTTTTTTTGTCGGAATATATATTTTGTATTTTTGTCTTTTTTTCATTGGATAGCTACCATTTATTTTATATTTTTCCAAAGTGACAAAGTTATACTAATTTGCAAAAATTTTAGAGTATGTTAATTATTCTAGTAATCTTACTTATTAGTTATTGCTGTTCACTTTTCGGTAGGTTCGAGTGGATAATTTTTTTACAAATGAGAGTTTACAAGGATTTAAATGATGCATAATTATGGACATAATAGTATTGGAGAAATTAAAAAAAAAAGAGAAATTAAAAAAAAAAAGAGAGAAATTAAAAGTATTGGAGATTAAGAAGTACAGAAATATAATTATGGACATAATTAAGCAATTAAACAACAATGATGCATACCCAAAAAAAGAAGAGTATACAGAAATGGAAAGGGTTTTGCTAACGAAAGCATTAAAGCACATAGTGGTTTCATTACGCTTTTGTTACATACAACAAATACGTAATGGGCGACGAAATGGGGAAATGTTATCGTACGACGTGGTGCAGGTAAAAAGTCCGTCAGCTGTCGTCCACGTGTGGGAATGAATGGCTAATACACAATTTTGGGAAAAAATTTGGATCCAATCATTTGAGTCTCTCTCTGATGATGCTGCTGCGTTGGTCTTTGTTGAAACCAAAACAACCATGTGGTTTCTTTCCTTATCTTACGTGTTCGACGGCGAACCATTTGGGATCGGTCGATGATTATATATTTGATACTGTTTATACCAAATTAACTTGTTCGACTCCTCCTCGTTTTATGTGTTTTGGTAATTTCTTGTCAACGTTTATAATCCTAATGATAACCGGCGGAAAAAGTGCGGTTCGTTTCAAATAATAGCAAAAATACATAGATATATATATATGTATATATATATATATTTTGACATTATTACAACATTTTTGGGGTGCACTTTTGTAATGCAGTAAGTTTCAATACTATTTTGGTTTAACCTTACCTCTTTCTTTCTTTTTTTTTGTATTTTTCTTTTTTGAAAAATTCTTTCTCACACTGAGATTGTGATTTATGTTTTGTGTTTTTGCTCCCCATGCTTTAGGTTTAACCACAAAGGCACAAACCCCGTTGCATTGTGTGTTGGTTTCTATATAATTTGTGCGTATCATCCCATCTAATCTTGTATGCAATGATCACACAATATTTGTAATAAATCGTTTTGATTTGCTAAGAATGATAATGTATTACAAACAACATTACCGAAAAAAACAAATTTTAGCGAATAAAAAGATAACCTTACATTTTTTTTTTAAAAGTTTAACATGGGTTTTTTATGGTAATATAATTGAACGAAAAGAAGCATTTAGCTTTCGGCATTGCTTCTTACAGTTTACATATATTTGTGTGGTAGTGTTACGGATCTCTTGATCAATGTTCTTGAAAATAACTAGAGGAGGGTTCGATTAGTTAACTTTCTTGATACAGTGTGCATGTCTTCATCGACTGCTATAGAAATAGACATGCAAAACAAGATATGAATTAATGGCTTATATAAATTTAAGTGTAGAGTGTTTCTTATATACTTGAATAAAAATTATATACTAAACTAAAATACTAAATTAGTTTTAGAGATGCCAATCAAATACCTTTTCTTATCTTCTCTTTTCTTTGTTTCCTTTTTACTGTTTGATCATTTTTCACTTTCTCTTTATATACATATATAAGTGTTTTCTTTTGTTAATTGATTTTTCTTTATATACTTTTGGAAATGGAATACTACTTGATCTAGACCATACAACCTTTTTATGAATGAACGAACCAATGAACAACAAGCTGTGCAAACGTTCACATCTATAGTAAAAAATTTCCATACTCAAGTAACACATTTGACCTAATAGGTTTTTAACCACACGATCTGTCCGAGTTAGCTCAGAACTACATGATTTGGTAGTTGTGTGACATCGTGTTACCAAAAATAATTTTTTTTTTTTGCTTTTCTCACTTTCTTATCTCCTTTTTTTGACTTTTGTACTTTTATTTTTATCCTGTCTCTTTGGTCGTCATTGTGATTTATATATATATCATCGAACGTGCAGCCACCGACACTTGCGGCACGTGAGACCTAGCCCTCCTCACACGCACACACAGAGGTTCCGAGTGGTTCTGTTCCTCTACTTCGCGTTGTTGTCTTTGATGCTGACGGTGCGCCTTGTCTTCGATTTAGCCGACGACGCTGACTAAATATGACTATGGCCGGTGCTTGGATTTATTCAATTTTGCCTTTCTTAACTACTGATTACCTAATTGACTCCTTTTATTATATTTGATTAGTTATTGAATTATGTAAGCATAAACATTTTTTTAATTACGTTTCTAACATAATAACGAATCTTCTTGATTTTTTTTTTTGTTATTGTTATATAAACAAAACGTAGTTGAGTAGGGACGTTTTACCCGACCAAATTAATTATTTTATATTTACGGATCATCAATATTATCATATTTTAATTATATATTAGTTATTCAAATGAGTGTGTATGTAATGTGTGTTTGTGTTTCATTTTCATAATAATAATTTTTAACAGAAACGATATGAACATTTTTGTTTTGCATTAATTAATTAAAGACTTATCGTATGGACTAATTAACTTTGAGGTCATAATCTATTTGGTTAGCCTTTGTTTTCAGTCAACAAACTTTTAAGCCATACAAGATTAGAAAAATCTATAATTTTAATTGCCATTTAATATCTGATTTTAATAAAAGATTAGTCAGTAAGTTTGGATCACCACTAATTATATCGAGGTCAAGAAAGTATTATATTCGTTCGGAGTTATATTAGATTTTGTGTAACAATCAAAATGGACATAACTAATTATATATTAAGTTCTATGTTTCCTAGCTAGCTAGCTAGCGTTATGAATTTGCCAATGCTTTTTGTTTTTCTTTTTAAGCATGATTATATAATCGATAAGTGCACATGCAATGTGAAAGAATATATATCAACAGTAAAGCTGAGATGATATATGCCAATGACATGTATGACAACTGAATCATATGTGAATCTGAAGATAGAGATCAAAGAGAAGCTAATGTGGACAAAAGAAGCTATAGTGCGTATAATGGTGTAAAACTTTAAACATACCAAGTCCTAAACACATGCATGCATATCTAATAATGAAGGTGCAAAATACAATCCGAAACGTTGATCTTGACTTCAAAACATACTACATACATACATATACAAACATAACTATATATGTAACGTACTTATCTCCCGACAATCTCATGTGACAATCATCGGATCTTCCAAAACATTCTTACCCAATTCCATCTGTTGTATTTCGTCTTCTTTACAAAACTCGTATAAAGATGTTCATTAAAAGACAAATAGTTATATGTTCTTCTCAAGTCCCACAAGAAAGTGTTTATCAAACAAAGTCCCACAATAACTCAAATATAGATGACACAATATGCTCTTAACACAAACTCGATGTCAACGGTCCAAAGATGTTGAACCAAGGGTTCACCAAATAAATTTATTAAGGAAAGGAGAATAAATTCACTTTGAACAATATCTCAAGAACTCGAATTGAAACGGATTTAGAAGGATTGATTTGACCTAGAAATGAACGATTTAGGGTTTACTCAAGAACAAGTGAGGAACTAGGGTTTTTGTTATTAATTGATCGATGCCCTAAAATAGAGACATTTTCTCTATTTATACAAGGGATTTAGGGTTACAATAAATGCTCCATTTCCTTAGATTTTCAGAAGATATTGTCATAAA